GACAAAAGGTGGATCTTTGAGGGTGGCAGGGTCAGGGCAGCACTGACCAGTGCTGCTCAGACCGTTCCTGATTGACTGGTTGAGGATTCCACCTGTTGGAGAGCCCCAGCTGGGGCTCAGCGTACAACTCCACTTCGTCCTGGCATCTTGGTTTTGGGGTCACCACCTGGGCCTGTCCTATTTTCTCCATGTTCCCTCCCTCACATTAGAGTGTGGTTGGGCCAGCCAGGAGGTCAGTGCAGCAGCACCTGCTGTGAGGAGGTATGGGGATGGAAGGGACAGAGAGCAGGAAACAGGTTCTGGAGTAATTCTACATGTGCGTGGCCAGACCTCCTTTCCGCTGTGTCCATCTGAGGAGCACACAGGGGAAGACAGAATCAGAGGCGGCCTGTACCGGTGTCAGTGCTGCCTTGAGCGGCACTATTATCACAGCAGAAAGTCGACAACTGACAGAACTGCAGGAATTCAAGGATCCTTCCCAGCTCCCTAAGGCAGACCCGTGGTTTTGTCATTTTTAGAGTCATGGAAACAATCTCCACTCCACCATAGTGTGACCTCCATAACGCCTTTCTCCTCTGATCAGTGTGGTGTGCACCACAATCTTATTACAGGCAGATGTGTTTTACTTTAGGTATATGTTTATTTCTTGAGTAGCTAGCTTTTGGCAGCTCAGCATGAAAACTCATTCAGCACACTAAAGAGAGGTAAGGGGAGAACCAGCTCAGGCAGAGCTAGAATGGAGTTCTATTTAGATAGACTTTCCGTAAGCAAGACATTCAAAGAGATGTGAAACCCAGGGACTTCCCGGGACAACTTTGATTCAGGAGAGCATCTGTGTATGAAAACCCAGACAAAGAGCACTGACCACCTAGGGACACTTGAATTCTAAAGGGGTTTTTGCTTTATGAAGACATCTTCTTCAACTGAAGCTCCTCTAGTGCCGACAAGTCACCAACGATGCTGAAAATGCACAAACAGGGCAAAGAATGTGAGTTCAGGGCTAAGAACTTCCAAACTTTAAGAAAACTGAGGAAGGAAGATACTTGAAAAAAATGAGGCTCTGTAATAAAGTGGTGCTAATGAACCTGTTTTGAGATGACTCATTAAGTAGTCATTTTATGAAAATTGCAGGACATATTCATGGCTAAATTAAAATGGTCCAGAGGATATAAGGTGAAGAGTATTTCTTCTAATCCACTCACCCCAAAATTACCATCATTAATTACTTATTATTTATCTGTCCAGAAATTTCCTATGCATTTTTTTCTTGCCAGTAGTGTATGAAAATTCCTGATTCTTTCTAGACCTTTCTAATATTTGCCAAAATTCACAGGAGAAAATATTTATTTTATTTTTTCAGTCACTCAAATATATTAATGAGCACCCACTGTTACCAGAGTTGGGCCAGTCTGGAAATTGAGTCTTGTAGCATCATGGGAAAGGCATTTTAGGGATACTTTCCAAGGAGGATTCGAGCAATAGTGGCAAGATTATTAGCAGAGCACACAGGGCACAGACGCTCTTATAAGATTGCTGCGCTCCATGAGGCCCTTCTCTGGCAGGTCTAGCAGCAGAAGCTGGTTAATGTTGTTGGTCTTCCCATGGGCACACCAGGCCTGATGTCTCATCTGAGACCAGGTTGATTTGCATTAGCTCTGTCTCATTGCAGAAGGCCAGCTTCAGGGGATGCAAGCCCACCCTTGTGCCCACTAGGGCCTGGAGGGTGAGGCCCAGAGCTGCAGTGCTGATAGTCCAGCACAGTCTATAGTCCCAGCTATGCTTTGGCCCAAAACTGCTGCCAAAAGTGACTTGGAACTTAGTTAAGCTCCCCTATATTTCCTTGGGCTTGGGAGAGAGCAGGCTTTTTTCAAACTATCCAATCTCTTTTCTGGGGTTTGTATCGTTATCCTAGATGATTCCCTGCCTCCCAGATTTTCCCAAATGGTCTCTTCCTCTCAATGTTGCCATTTTGGCTTCTACTGTGCATGCACCCATTGAAAGTGCTACTGCTAAGCCAACCTTGAAGTTCTGGCAAGAGTGAACAAACAAGTAAAAATTTCTATGCTTGAGAAATTACATATTTTTGCTTAAGTGTCTTGGCAAAGCACAGTGTTCCTGTTTCCAGTCACCACATGTGCAGATTCACCAAGTGACCACAGGAGAACAAAGTTAGTATCAGGAACAGGATGACCAGACAAGTCAAACTGTACGTCTGCAGAAAAACCCTCTGCTGCTCCCCTTAACTCAACTACCACTTCCTTTTCATCCTATATAACTAGCTGGCTTCACAAGAGCTGTTGAGATGGGGTTTGGGACAGGAATTCCCATTTTCTCAATTTCCCATTTTCTCAAGTGGCAATTGAATAAACCACTTTCCTTCTCACCAGCACTTGTCTCATGAGTTTCCTTTTTGGGCATGCAGCCAACTCAGGTTTGGTTTCAAAGGGACTTTCCCCCACACAACCTTCTCCCCTGCCCCTGCCCAGTTAATCTGGGGAACAGTGCCAGTTGTTCCATGGGATAGTTGGGAAATAGGTCTCTCCTGCCCACTTGGATGTTAATCCCTTTGGCTGAGCAATGGCAGCTATTCCTTGGAATGACTGTGAAACTGCCCCTTCCTAGTTGACCTAGCTTAATCGGATATCTGGCTCCCTTCCCTTTCATTAATATCTAACTAAATGCTTACTGTAATACCACTATATGCCAAATATGTGTGTTAGTTCTGGGAATGCAATGAAAAAAGAAAGGCAAATGGCGGGACCCTTTCCTAGTGGGGTCATGGTGCAGATGGGGGGACTAATAGTAACTCAATAGTCACATACATAAAAGTGCTATAAAGATAAATACATAAGAGTTATGGAAACATACAAAACAGAGCTGCTTTAGTTAGGGAATGGCTGGGTAGCCAGGACAAGCTTTCCCCAAGACAGGACAATAGAGCTGCAACCTGAAGAATGAGTAAAAACG